AGCCCTGGCTGTGCTGGGGATGGTCCCCCTGCCACAGCAGCTCTCGCTCTTGCTGTCTGCCTTGCCGGGAGGAAGCAGCTCAGCTCTCACCTCCCCGCACAGGATGAGTTCGGGTTACCTGTGTGTTAACCCAGGTTACACCAGCTGTGCCACCATTTTTGCAGCCCTTTCACAGAGTCCTGCTCTCTAGGGTGGGTGGCCCCCTTGCAGAAAAGCCTTTTTCTAGCACACATTGAGGGTGCTCAGGAAAAGGGGAAGGCAGACTTGGCTCACACAACACCCACTTGGCTGCAAGAACCACAGAGATATTGCACAGAACCTGCACAGAACCAGACCTGGATATTATCTCAAACATGGGCTCAAATGGCCCACAATAGATCCAGCCTGGGCTGTATACTAACTGGCTCCTTTCCCCACTTCATTCCTACACCTCCATGTGTTGAGAAGGTTAACCAACTTAGCAAGGGAGCCAGGTGCTTCAACCCCCAACCTAGATGGGCCAGACAGTGTGGTGTGAAAGACTATTCACACCAATGCTGGTCCCCCTACCTTCTTTTGATGTAACCTGGCTGCACAAGAGCAGGGCTTTACTGCTGGATTTACCTTTGACAACTTTAACTGTAGTGGTCATCTCTCTTGTTATTAAGCTGTTATCTGTAGACCTCCAGACGACTTGACAGGTGTAGTGTCCACTGTCAGGCATTTCCAGGTTCTCAATGAGCAGTGAGGCATCCCCTGGGCTGTTCTTTGGGACGCTGACTCGGCCTCGGAACTTAGCTGGCAAGATGTGGTCACCAGAATCATCCCTCCGGAAGATGGTGGAGACGCTGGAATCTCTCTCCAGACTCCAGCTCAGCGTGTGCTGTGTGAAACCTTCTGAAGGCACATAGGTACATGGTATAGTGGTGGATCCCATCCATGTACCTCTGATCTGGTGGACACCAGACAGATCCAGGAGGGCTGCAGGGAACAGCAGTGGAAGGGAAGAAATCAGAATGCAGCAGAAGAGGGAAATATCCTCCAGATAGATGGGACTCACCAGGCAGTAGATGCCAGCACGCAGCCAGGTCTCAGATGTGCTGTAGACAGCACTAAGCCAGCCCACATCTTCAAGCATGGGGAAGTGAACAGCTGCCCTGACCTCTTGTCTATTTTTATTGTGTCTCTCTCTCGCTGGGCACTTGCCAATTCTTAATTCTTTTTCAGTACAGAGAGGCTCTTTGTGGGCAGGGACATTTAGGGATATTCCCTGCAGTACTGAACCTGGAATAGGAATGGTGGGCCAAAACCTATCCTTTTGCTTTAACCTTGGGAAACTTCAGACCTGATCCAGATCAGCGCCCTGCCAAGCGTTCAGGTAGGCACAGGAGAAGAGTGGGCAGATTTTGTCCACCTAATCTCCCTATTTCTCCAGCTGCCTACCCCACATCTCCTCTGGGAAGTGCCTCTTATAAGTAGCAAATCACCTGCATTTCATTTGACTGGTTCATCTCTCCCCATATCCCTTATTCTTCTCTTCTTTCTCCTCCCTGGAAAGACACTGGTTATATTCAGCAGACTTAACTCACCAGAAGTTGCTTGAGAGGAAGATCCCAGTAATTGCAAAGCCTGTTTTTTTAATGACAGAATGGGGGCTATATTTCAATTTTTTAAATGTCAGGAGCAATCTTGTGCTTTTGTATACAACTTGTAAGAGCACTTTTCTCCTATTTCCCGAAAATATCCTCTGCTGCTGCCAGTGTCATACATCCCTGAGGAAGGGCATATTCAGTCAGGGGCATAGGAATTGAAGCCAAAGTTCCAGTCCCAGCTTTCCTGGTGCAAGCAGAGAGTCACTAGGTAGGAGAGACCAAGGGGTATCAAATGTGCTGGCACCTGGTCTCCCAGCTCTTCTTCCCATGCCCATGCTAACAGAACAATGAGGATGAGTTATTAAATTTACAGTGTATATTCCAGCTTCACCAAGACTGTTTTGAGAGCTGGACACCACAGTGGGTCCTTGCCAAGGGTCCCAAAAAACTGTATTCTGCTCTTGCCTTGGGGCAGGGAAGCTGACTTGCCCAGTACTGCCCTATTTGCTGCACTCTTGAAAGCATCTCGTTGTATCTGATGCCAAAGGAGACTCATGAATTCTGAGGCTCTCTGGTTAATGCAATAAGCTAAAGACTTTCTAATTGACTTGTAAATTAAAAAAATAAAAGATGCTATAATGCAAAGGATTTTCCCGACCCTGTTAGTACTCTGATTTTTTTCTTTTAGGTTGAAGCATTTACTCACCGTTGCAGCTGATGAAAGTCATCACAAACACCACTGTCCTCCCAACTTCTCTCATTCTTCCAGAAGTGCAGGTCTGTCCTCCTTTCCCCAAGAGACTCCCACCCTCCTGGGGCCAGATTGCAAGTGAAGAGCACTTCCCTTTATTCTGTCCTTTTTCATCTAGGATCCTCTTTCTGAAACATCACGAGTCCATTTCTCTGCTGAGTTAGGTGAAGGGTGAAGGAGGGAGAAAGGCTCTATGGATCTTTCCAGTCCCATTCCCTGTCCCCATCCACTTCTCCTGGTGCAGCCCAGGACCCAGCTGCCTTTCTGAGCTGCAAGTGTCCATTGCCAGGTCATGTTGAGCATCACAGACTCTCTCAGCTCAGTTTCTGCTGCAATAATCCAGTTCATGGACAAAAGTCATACTCTGAAAACACACACTGTGTTTGCCAAGGAGGTAACTTCTGACAGGCGGCCAAGGGACATTCTGAGTGTGATCTGTAGGGTATATTTAAAAGTGCTTCCAAGAATAATCTAGGTGTGATACACAGGATTGAGCTGTGTTTACTAATTATTACCAGAAGGAGAAGGACTTCTGGAAAGATAAGAAACATGTATAAAAGCAAATCTACTGACCTAGTTGTAGGCATTTAATAGTCAGTAGAGCAGCTTTTTGGGATTTAGTCAATAGCCATGCCTTAGCATATGGTTCTAACAGCTGCACCAGGAAAGCAATATCTATTGAACAGGAGTGTCTGAGGGACAGGGAGCTGTTTTCTACTGGAGGTGGGAGAGAAAGGTGAATGGGGTGGTTTTGCCACAGCCTCATTCCATTACAACAAATCTCTGTCTGCTTGGGCTGGAACGTTCACCTTGCAGCTGAAACCATCTCTGGAAGTGCTGCTCCATGTCAGTGACAGCTTATTCCCCCTCTGCTAGGGTAACGAGAGCTGGAGATTATCTTCATTTTCTCAGAGTCAGTAAGCTAATGAGAACTGCATGGATCTCATTTCAGTCCCAGGTGGGGGCATGCCCTTGCTGACTGATTCCAAGTTTCACCCTGCTGATTGCTCTGGTAGGACTTGTCTGGAGCAAAAAACTAAATATTGTGCTGCAAGACCTGGTATAAAAATTTCATCCAGGGCTCCAGGCTGAAAGCCACCACCAGTTACCATCCTGCTGAGGAAGGTGATGGGGGCAGCTGCACCCCTTATTGCAAAGCATGTCTATGTAAGAAATTGAAACTTGATTTTTGCTAACTTTTCTTCTTGCCATCTTTGCTGCAGCTGCCAGTGGGGTACCAGTGCACATGGCCTGTATCCATCTGCCCATGCTGCCCCCAGAGAAGAGTTTAGCAATTTGAGTTCTGCTTAAAAGCAAGCAAACAAACAAAAAACCACTTTTTAAAGTTGCTAGCTGTGTCACTCAAAGAGGGAAATGTGTCCACTTTCATAAAGGTGGTTAAAATCCAACGTTTTCCATGCCTTGATCCATGGCTGGCAGTAGAGCCTTGTCCCAAACAAACAGTCTCCTACACAAAAAGTTTAAGAGAAGTTGAGTTTTGGGGAACATGCCCTGAAAGAAGTTGAAAAACCAAGCCAAAACTGCTGATAGGGTAGTTTTTTGAACAGGGCATGCAAGACTTCCTGAGGCTCTAATTATACAGGATTAAAAAAAAAAGAGATTATTTAACTAAAGTGGACATGAATAACTGTAGTTCCCCAAATATGATGTACATGACATCTTTGTCGCCCTGGATACAGACACAGCTCCCTGAGTCACACAGTCAGCCCATTTCTTTCTTGCTTAAAGGACTCCTCATAGTTCTGAATCTGAACAAAAGAAGAGAAAGCCTTCAATGTCTCAGACACGTTGGCTAGCCACCTCGTTTATTAAAATGCAGTATTTTATTCCAATGTCTCTGCTCTGGGTTGAAGTTGCTGCTGTCTCCCAGACAGTGCTGCAGGTGAGGCACTCTGCAGCTTGTGCCACCTTCCTCCCACACACAGGACAGGACAATCTTTCAAGTCTCATTTCTTCAAGTACCACAGCTCAGGCACTCTTTGTTCTGCCATTTCTGGTACTCACCTTGGGCTAACTACAGGTGACACAGTGAAGTCCCCATGTCCCCAAACCTGAGCACAGATGGTCACTCAGATCCTGTTCATAGGGACCAGCTCTGCTGAGCCTGCTTCTTACATTCATGCTCTGACGAAGTTTGCCAGTGGCCAGAGAAGTTTGTTACCATTTCTATGGTGATAAATAAGATCCTTAGCGTTCAAGGAGGTGAAATTCAGTACCCACCTGTGAGCAAATCACCAAAAAGTAGATAACTGAAGAAGAAAGGTCTCAAAGTGCTCTTTTTCAATCACATGCACTCAAAAAAGAAGCAATTTTTACTTGAGACTTTCTTATTTGGTCTAGCCGTAGCTGGAGTCACAGATGTGACTCAACAAAGTATATTTTACTAAGTACCTTTTGGATGTCCCAAAGTAGCTGATTGTGTGACCTCTCCCAGCCATTCACACCACAATTCTGTCACATCAAATAATCATATAGTCAGTCATCAAAACATAACCTTGTTCCATTTAAAGAAACAGAAATTAGTGTAAATTAGCATTTCCCCCTTAAAGCTTGTGTGACAGAAACAAGATGTACAAGTGCTCTCTCTGAAAAAATTCACTTCCCTTCCCAGGAATTCCCAGGTCAATGACATTAGTTCTGGGTTGCTATTAGCTTGGCCAAATCCTTGTAAACAGATCCTGATTCCAGGAAAGGGAGCCACATGTATGAAGTTTTCTGAGTTCTTGTTTCTTTCCTGGTGCTGCAGGTGGGCTGCACACCCCCAGCCATCAGAACAATACAGATGTTTCCTTACCTGCAGGTACCACATGCACCAGCTGCTGGTGCTCTCTGGAGTCTCAGCACCATCTGATGCTGGCTTTTTCCAGGCTGCCCAGTTCCTCCTCCCAGTGCTCAGCAGAGGCTGGCTGAGCTTTGGGTCTGCTAAACAAAGCTGCTGGGCTGGGATGATCTGCTGTGACTTCATCTCATCCTCTGGGCTGCCACTGCACAGGGTGCACAGCAGCTGCTCTTCTGCCCTGGTACACCCCAGACCAAGCCAGGACCTGGACCTTGTCCAGCTGTCCCACAGTGCATGCAGACACAAAACACATGGAGACCATAATCCATGGATTTATTTTCAGTTTCATGAGCTTGCCTTACAACAGCTGTATTTAATATCATCAGCTCCTGGTGCTGGCTGTCCAGCCAGGATAACACTGCTGTTTAACCACATTGGTAGGGCTGCACTGCCTGTGGCTTTGCAGTGCAGCTGGAATTGAGTGATTTTGGGGCAAGCTGTGGGATTCCTGGCAGCCATTAGCCATGGGGTTTCAGCAATGAGAGCTCAGCCCACAGTGTGACTGACCACCCTGTCCCTCAGTGGGTCACCCCACATCTCTGCCTTCTCCCAGTGCTCCCCTCTCCTCTGCCTGGGCCACATCATGACCCCGAAGATGAAGAGCACTGCAGGTCATTTCAAGTGGCCAGAGCCATATTTCCCCTTCAGTGGCCACAGCAGTCAGGCTGAAACGGGCTGAAATTTGTGCTCCAACACCTGCCACATTTCCTTCCCACCTCCTCTGACCACACATATGCACAAACACACACTCACACCTATTTTCTCCACATCTACAATTAGCTGCATGTACATGTTGGCAGTTTTCTCCCTGACAGCACCAGCAGCTGCCATGTATTCCCTTTTCATTCAGAAATCAAGATGTCCCAGCCCTTGATTTTTAAGTACATTCTTAACAAAGAGAAATAAAACTTGTAGGACAGGAGAAAGTATAAGGTCACTGATGAGTACATGGAAAGTGTGCCTGGTAGTTTGTGCATTCTGATGAACTTTTAAATAAATCATTAATTCCTCTAATTTCCCATTAGACCCCTAGCTCTCAGCCCTAGGTGAGCAGCACTGTGTTCCACATTTATTTCTGTGTTGCATACAAAGAAATACTTTTCCCTGCCCTTTGAAAGTGCTACCAGACAATTATCATTAATTTCTGCATCCTTTTCAAAGAAGCTGTAAACAAATAGCCCCTTCACCTTCTCAGCCCTGACCCCCATGGGCACACTTGGCTCATTTGTTTCTTCTCTTTTCTTAGAGACTGTTTGCACAGATGTGGTTTTGTACCAATAATTATTCTTTACAACCTTTCTCAGTAACTTTTTTTGCTCTGCTAAACCCAGGGTGAGGCCAACGTGCATAGATTAAGTAGTGACATTCCACGGGCTTTACACTACCACAATCCTGTTTTTTGTCTGGAATACCTTTCCATTAGCACCTCACACTCCCTTTGATTTCTGGTGAGTTTTGAACTGATTCTCAGAGACCTGTAGATGCAGAGCTGTCCTGAGTGTGAGCAGCACAACTAGGGTCCCCTTAATCCTGTGCCTGTGTTACCAAAGTTTCACTCATCCCTCAGGTCACTCCCTCAGTTTTACATCTGTCTGCATGGCTTTTAATGGGATACAGAATTGCCCTGTTTGTCATAAAAATGTTCTTCTGTAACTCTGCATGATAGATTTACTCAAGGCAGTAGAAATTATTCATAACTTACCCTTCAGGCTTTTTAAGCTGGGAGGAAAGTATTTCTTGAGTATCTAGTGAGGGGCTGCGAGTGGCAAAATGAGCCAGTCGTGCAGAAATGCACACGGCAAAACACGTGAGGCATGTGTAAGCAATCCTACCCCAAACTTATGGAAAAGTATCTAATTTCTTTCAAATACCCATCATGCATTTAAAGAGAGAACAGAGAGTGTGAGCTCGGAAAGGATGTGCCTGGTTGCAGTATCAGAAGCACCCAGAGCTGTGGCCAGTGTGTCCAGACCTCACTGCAGTGCTGTGGAGGGGGACCAAGGGCAGCACACAGACTGCACAGGACATTCCTGCTTCCTGCACTGCTTCTCCTGCTGTGGCAGGTTCCTGAGATTCTCTTGGCTTTAATCTGCCTTTCAGTGTTTCTAGAAGGTCTCTCATGTTAAATCTGTACAGCATCAGGTGGGCAGGAGAAGAATCATCAATTCCCAAGCCACCACATCCTGCCCTGGGTGAGCACAGGGATGGGGATGCTGAGCAGCCCTCAGTGCTGGCTCTCCTGGCACCACACAAAGGCTGAGTCCTGGCCAGACAAAGCAGTAAGTTCAGTTCAGTGCTCCTAGCCTGGCACCTGCGTGCTGCAGCTCTCAAAGAGCTTTCTTGGATAGAGGTGGTGAGAGGGAATCAAGGAAAACAGAATCAGAGGTTCTATACAGCAGTCTGTAACTGAAGTTCCTGGCAAGATATGCGTTTTCACTGCAGGGATTGTGAAGGAAGAGCAACCACTGCTTGTCCAACCTACTTGTGAGGGGCCAAAGTGGAGAGAAATACATATTTTGTGTGGGTGAAGGTGCTCCTCAAGACTGGTATCTGCAGATCGTTGTTGGTTCTCAGGAAGCATCCCCTACTTCATACACAGATTCCTGGGGGTTTGCAACACAGTCAGACACGTTCTTATTTACTTCTTCAGAGACTTTGTTTTCCCCAAGCTCCATCACATAGTTGTTCTCAGTGGAAGGGATGGGTTCCTCATAGAGAACTGTGCTTGAAGGAGCTGCTGCTCTCGAGTTATGGCTGAAATTAGAAAGCAAGAAGAGTAGCAACCAGAGTAAACAAAGCATCTTCCAACCATCAGGATTTTTATCAGTATTGTTGTCTGACTCAAACCTGTGTAAACCTGGACTACAGCAATATTCTGAAGGACAGAATTTTGTCCTTTGCTTTCTGGTGGCAGAAAAAACCTTGGGCATTGCAGCAGCATCACTTCCAACCCTGAGAAAGTTTCCAGGGAGGGGCAGCAAAGGGTGTGCAAGCAACGAAAGCATTACCACCATTTCTTGCACTGGCACAACCAGATAATTGCTGAAGAGAAGTAAATATTTATAAAAAAATATTGGAGGAAGGGTAAATTGAGAACTGAAAGCAGCCCACATCCACTGTCTGGCTTATGGTAGCTAATATTTTTAAAATGAAAATAGATCCTCTAAGGAGAAATGTCATCACAGCATTTGTTTCATTGTTCAGGGGTCAACTGTTACTTAAACTGCTGCCTCACACACTGCTGGGGAAGCACTGGGATGCTGGCACATCCCACTGCAGTACTCAAGTCAGCAGCACTTCATCCCTAGAGAAGTGGTTCTCCTTGTATGTTTTGACCAGATTATCAGGCTTTCCAGTAAAACTTCCACAGGTCACAAGTAGATCAGGATGTGAAACCTGAGTTGAGAAATAGCTGTAACTTTCTGCCACAGCTATAGTTAGAAGAAGTAAATTCAGCCAGGGATGTTTTGAGGATAAATCAGAGCATAACTAGTGGGCTCTAGAAGGGCAGTTCCTTTCCTTTGCATTTGAAAACACACTGGGAATTCAGCCTTCGAAAAACACAGAAGATTTAGCCTTGGCAATCATCTTCAGTACCCCTCTCTGGGCTTAGGAGTCAATAAGCAGTTCTTGCTCACTTCTACAATTCTGATATTGCCATGAAAAAGATCCTTCTTCTGTGTTGCTGTTAAAAGCCCACAAGCCATCCTACAACTTGCTGCTGAGCTAACTGTGAACCTCTTCACCCAGACTGCTTAAGGGGATTTTCATTATGACAGCTATGGCAGTGTTTTTTATTTCTGCTCTGATACAGCACCCCAGGACTCATCAATGTGCCAGATAAAGGGTTATACTCACAATTTTACATCATAGGCTTGAGCTGGAAAAGAAAAATCAGAATTTGTGTCAAAAATTTGCATTTACATTTTTTAAAAAATAATTGTTTTTTATATTCTTGATTTAAGAAATAGACCTCTGGAGACAGAACAAAAATAACAACCTTGGATATCATGTCAGATGGGTGAGGACTCAGTTTCCCAGGATTCAGTCCAAGAAAACAAAAACAACTCCGCTATCACAGAACTGGGTCAAAATAACCAGCCCAATGTCAAAGACGAAGTTGAGGTTAGAAACCAGAAGTCCACAGTTTCCCCAGTTTCCCTAGTCATTACAAGTTCAATAAAGAACAGTTTTGAAAGTGGCTATTCTACATTCCTTTAAAAAACCAAAAGATAAAAATAAGAAAAATGGTAAAAGAAATATCTGACAATTTTATTATTAATTGGTAGCATGGAAGCATAGGAAGATCATTAGAGAAAGAAAGGAGAAAATGAAGTCTGTAGGATCCCAAACCCCAAAGCACACCTGTGTGCTCTCTGCACAGCTCGTGAGGAGGGGCCTCCAGGGAACATTTGGTCAAGGGGATTTCTGGTGGCAGTGCAGGAGAGACAGAGGCACTCAGTGAATGGATGCTGTGACTAAAGACCAGAGAGGAAACAAATTCACATGGAATAGGGAGAATTGACAATGACCTCTTCCCTCTGGGTGCCAACTACAGAAACTACCTCCCAGCAGCAGGATGGGATGAACCCTCTGCCAGAGACTTCAAAGATTTGAAATGATGAGCCCAGCCCAGCAGGAGAGTCTGAGCCCTGGGATGCCTGTGAGGAGCAGTGAGAAACAACCATCCCAAAGCTTTGTGGCAGAGCAAAGCCACACACCTTGGGATGGGCTGCAGGGCAGGGACTGAGCTGCCCCAGACTCAGTGCAGGGATGGGAGGGTGCAGCTCGGGAGCACCAGGACCACTGCTGCCCCAACCCCACAGCTGTGCCTGGAAAACCCTCCTGACTGCAAGGACTTCTCTGCCTCTTTGGATTTCCCTCCATCTGTGACACTCCACACATCATCTGCTGCCTGTGTGCTGCAGGTACCAGAGCTGCAGCTGGTGGCTGCAAGCACTGATCCAGACCCAAAAACCCATCAAGTGTAAAACCATGCTGGGCATGTGTAAAACATTTAGGTTTTCCAGAAGATTCTACTCACCGTCTTTGGGCTTTCTAATGCAAAGGATGAGAGAGATGACAAGGAAAACCACAGCACCACACACCACAGCAATCAGGATGACCAAGTACAGGGACAAGCCAGTCCTCTGGAAATCTAAAGCAATACAACAGAGAACTTTCAGACAGGGCAGCCGTCCTGGGTGACAGCAGCAGCTGGTACAGGACATTTACCATGTCCCCAAGGACAGCAACAGCCAGCCCTGCCTGAGCACATGGGTCTGTGTCCCCACAGACCCCTTGGTCCTGTGGCTCTCAGTGGGTGTCGTGTGACCCAGCACTCTCTACACCTCACCAGAGACCACAGCGTCCATCTCATGTTGATGAGACCAGAGATGTCAGCTGGGCAGGATAACTGCACATCATGAAATAAAGCTTTCCATTCAAGGGTGCTGCTCAGTTCTGTTTGGAAAGTGTCTAAACCTGTCACAACGCTGCAAAGCTGGAGGATGTGTAGATCTGCTAGAAGCACACATTGAGGCTTTTGTGCTGTTTCAGCTTTGACAGTCCAAGATAAAAATGGACCAACAGCTCAGGAACACAGCAACAATTCTCTGTGCCCCATATATCAACATTTCTTTTCCATTCTTCCATAAAAATGTCTAGAGCCTATTAAAGAGTCACCATGAATTATCTGGGACCTTTGAGAACAGCTGTTAATGCAATTTGCAGCTAAAAAGGCAGAATACAAATTTTGAGGCTGAAATTCCTGACTACAGAGCATCTGGTTTGGGTTCTTAGTCTTCTTCTTAGCTTGGTTTTGCTCTTACTTACCACGAATAGTTTCATTCTTCCCTGGATATCCCACACCACTATGTGAAGTGGTTGCTGTTATGGGCAGATCTGCAAAACAAACATATGTTAAAATCTGACAGTGCATTTCCAGGCCTCATTTTAGCACCAGGAGATCTGGGATTAGAGCTGTAGGATCAGAAGAGAATGCCTCCATCCCCTTTTCAAGGCAGTGAAAAGAGGCAAACTGCAGAATTGAGCATTATGTATACACTATACAGGAGAGAGTACATGTAGTACCATATAGTCACTGGATAGATATTATATATAGTATATATACACTATATATGTGTACACAAACTACATATACATACACCAGATCCCTGTGTGCTTTTGTATGTCTGTACATGTACCTGCAGCAGTGGTGGGGCCCCATGGAGTCCGGGAGATTGCTGAGGTACCTCTGGACACCACCTCTGTTTGAGTTTTTTCTGCAAGAACAATCAACACCTCTCAACATCTTCCCTCAGCTTTGGTGACCGACTCCAGCTTCCACGATCCCCACTGGGTTTTGGTGGGCACCATAAATCCAAATGAAACATAATCCAATCATAGAAAGTTTCCACAAGCAGACCTGCTTTAGTCCTAAAGGCTTAAATTGCTCTAGGCTTAAATTCCCACATCCCACAAAAACAAACGGGAAATCACAAGTCCTCCCTCAAAACTGCTGTCCCTGGTCAAGTACATGTTTTCAGTCAGGTCTGGGATAGCTTTTGCATCCCTTGTGTCTGCCAGTGGAGACACCAGATCTGCCTCCCCTCAGCAGCTTCCATTCAGATCAGGTAACAAGCAAAAAAACCCTTTAGGAAAGAGCCGAACCCAGAACATCCCATCTGCTCTGCAAATCTGGGAATGGCATTTTCAGCAGTCCTAAGACATGTACAGCCTCTCTTACAAAGACAACCTATCAACCCTCTGTAGACTGGAAACTGAGGGGAGGAAGATATACTTTCAGAGACATCTGAGTTAAAAAATGAGGCATATGGACTGAAGTCTGGTACTGTCAAGACTCAGTTACCAGCAATAAAACCACTGCCAAGCACTGGTGTCACACTTCCCCAACATCCTATCCTTGTCATCAGCTGTCACTGCTCTCTCCCTGACCTGTGGTTGAGTGGTGTCCCCCCGTGGTTCCCACACTCCTCTGCAAGACTGCTGTTGTTGTGGGCAGATCTGCAAGAGGAGGGAGAGGAAGAGGCTTAACACAGGGGTTTGACCACGCTGGTGATGCCGCTGTGCTACAGAATCCCCCACAGGTGGGATGGGAGCAGGAGGAAGCAGCTCCCTCCCAGCTGGCAGGAGGGGGATGCTGTGCCAGCAGTGTCAGCCAGCACCTGCAGCACTGAGCCCTGTTCCCCTGCTGCTCCCTCCAGAGGGTGACTGCTGTGAAAAGCACCACAGGGCTTCAGCCAGAGCTCAGCAGGCTCTGCCTCTTTCACAGGCCACTGTGTGGTGCCTGTGCTTGGCTCTGCCATCAGGGGCTTCACAGCTCTGCTGATGGACTAACAGCCAAGGAGAGCGGCAAGTTTTGCACCAGGCACCCATGACAGAATGGTTGAGATTGAAAAAAGGCTCTGAGGCCATTGAGTCCAGCCTGTCACAGAGTGCCCTGAAGAGCCTGGAGGCGTCAGAGCCTGGCGTGTGTGAAGTGCAGTGTGTCTCCCTGACACACGGAGCTGGTGGTGGGGAGCAAAGGCCAGTTTGGTTTGTTCTGCCACTGAATGACCACTGACTTGTTCCTTGTTCTCAAAATGAAGCCCCGACTCCTTGTCTAAACTTGCTGAAGTGCAGCGGGAAGCATTAGAGAGGCAGGGAGAACTTCAAAAAACCCACAGAGGAATAAACAAATGTTGGAAGTAGAAACCCACTTTTGCATCTGAAAAGAGCAGTTCCTCACAGAAGAGGAAATCGAATGGAGTCAATAGAGCAGGACAGAGACTGGAGCCAGCGGGAGGGGTGTGTCAGGGTGCTGACGGGGTTTGGCATTTCCCTCTTTGCGGGCAGGGAAGGAGGATGCTGTTCCTTTGCCCTGCAGCCGTGGCTGCGGGCACTCACCTGTCACCGTGAGCTGCACAGCATCGCTGCGCTGCACGGCGCCGGCCCCAGCCCTGTTCTCGGCCTCGCAGAAGTACGTGCCGCTGTCCGAGGGCCGCAGGCTGGGCCAGGCCAGCTCAGCGCCGCTGCTCAGGAGCTCGGCTGTGCCCGCCGGGTCGCTCCGGAACCAGCGGTAGCTGATGGGAGGGGACCCGCTGGCCTCGCAGGTCAGGCTGGTGCTGGCTCCGGCCGGCAGCGTCAGCCCCGGCTCTCCAGCTCTGATGATGGGCTTGGTGGCTGCCACTGGAAGACAAAGCAGAGGGGCGCGGGTCACGGAGCCCTGGCTGTGCTGGGGATGGTCCCCCTGCCACAGCAGCTCTCGCTCTTGCTGTCTGCCTTGCCGGGAGGAAGCAGCTCAGCTCTCACCTCCCTGCACAGGGGAGCTCAGCTGTGCCGCACAGTCGTGCAGTATCTGTGCCTCTAAAAACCCCCAGACTGGGCGGAGGGAGGGCAAGCACATGCTGGTGAATTTAGTCAAAGGACAGCCATACCACATCCCTGGGACTTCCCCACTGCTGCATGCCCCTGGGAAATACTGAGCCATTGGCTACAGATAGAGAGCCATGGATGAGCTGTACTTGAGGAGCCACAGGTCCTCCCCGAGCTGCAGGGTTTTGTGTCCTGGGCAGAATTTCTCTCTGGTCTTTTTGCTACTTCTTGCTAGAGGCAGACACTAATCAGGAAAATGCTTCTTGAAACCTGTAGTCACCCCCTACCTGCTCTGTCTAATTCCCAAAACCTTCCCTTCTGAACAGCCTCCTTCTTGGATTTACCTTTAACAACCTCCAAATTGGTGGCAATCTCCTTTGCTATCAGACTGTTGTTGCTGTCTCTCCAGGTGACCTGGCAAGTGTAGGTTCCTCTGTCAGAGATCTCCAGGCTCATGATGAGGAGAGACACATTTCCTGGGGCATCCTTTGAGATGCTGACTCTGTCCCTGTACTCAGACAGGAGGACATGGTCACCAGAGCTATCCCTCCGAAAGATGGTGCCTGAACCCTTGTCATGTACCACAGTCCAGGTGAGGGTTTGCTGCACAAGGTCCTCCACAGGTACATAGATACAAGGCAGAGTGATAGAGTCCTTCCAGACACCTTTGATTTCACTGGGGCCACTCAGTTCCAGAAAAGCTGCAGGAAAAAAAAAGGATGAAAATTAAGCCACAGGGCAGCCAGGGTGAAGGCAGCTGCCAGGTGGTGAAGCCATGGCAAGAACATTGGCAAAGTGAACCCACCAGATGAGAAACACAAGCAGTCAGTGGGAGTGTGAGGGCTGGGCTGACCAAAAATCAGTGTGGCATGAGGCAGAGAGATGGGAGGTGGCTGGTGGCCAGGGGCACTGACTCCTGCCATGTGTGCAGCCTGGCTCTCCTGCTCTACCTGGGCCTTTCCTGCCACCACCAGCACTGAGTGGAGCACAGGGTCAGAGTTATTGGATAACTTAGGCCTGAGGGAAGGAGTTGGTTCAAAGTCCAAGTTGCAGCTCCCTGGTCTCAGCCAGTGTCTGCTCCAGACATCACTCTTGGTGCTCCTGAGGAATAGCAAAGACCTCCCTCCTCCACTGCCCATTTGCTTTTCTGAAACACACCACTCTCTCAGCCTAAGCCAAACACAAGAAACTTGAACCACTGCGTAAAGAAATCTAAAACTCTTTTTCCTGTAAAAATGAGGATTCCTGCCTTTGTCCCAGGACATTTCTCTCACTCTGAGGTATGACTCTAAGCTCCTCCCAAAACAGAGCCGCCCCTGCCAAGCACAGGCAGTCCCCGCAGGGCAGGGGCTGTGCCCAGCCCAGACTCACCGCTGCAGTGGAGAAGGGAACTCAGGAGCACAGCTGCTCGCAGCACCATTCCCATCCTTCCTGGGGACACGGCTGTTCCCTCTCCAGCCAGGCTGAGCCGCTTTCCCCAAGCTGTGGTAAATCAGGAGCACTTCCCTGCCCGGGCTCACTTTGTCACTGAGCGTCCAGGACAGCGGATGGCGGTTTTACCTTCCTCTTTATCAGAAAGCAAATGTCTCAGTAACCACTGTCACAGGCGTGGGCAGAGCGGAAACGCTAGGGAAGGGTGCAAAGAGGAAAGTTTAAAAATGACTTCTACGCTATTTCGTACTCTCTGCTGAGTATGTTTTTTCCTCCTTCTGTTCTTAAATGTTTTTTCTTTTACTTCTTTTGATTCCTAGGCAACCTTTTCTTCCTCTTTCCCTCCTTGTGTTGCTTACTGACAAACAAGCTTTAACGCACAATTACACACACAGGCCTGAGAGAGAGCTCATAAGAAGCTGAACCATCTAGGTCCTCACAATTCACTTTCTCACCAGCTCCTGAGACACTCACCACTATGCTTTAAGTTAATGTTCATGAAACCCCTTAAATCTTTACATTACCAGTACAAGACAGATGATTCTTGTAGGTTTCTTCCCAATGAAATATTCTATATCACTCTTACCACATCCTAGAGAAGAGGAATTCAGGTATGCAAATCTAAAGCCAAAAGTTTCCCAAGAGCTGCAAATATCTAAGCCACCAATCCCACTGCAGCTCACAGGTAGGTCTTCCCTTCTCACAGAGCAATTTAACTGCTTGGTTTAATTGATTAATTGTTTTCAATTACAAGCCCTAATTGAGGCTATACATCCCTCTAGTGCCTTCAGAGTACTTGGGAAACAGGTGAATATGGAGATGCCCATAGAGAAAAAGAGGAACTTATCAAAGTAGAAAATCTTTGAGACCATGGAATCACGGTTTCTTAACTGTAATAATATATTACTATTCATTAAATGCTATGGGTAATCTCTCTAATTAAGTAATTGAGCACTAGCCCTCTCTAAGAGAAGTATCTGTTTTCTACAGAAATATCCCTTTCAAGGGATTTTATTGCCTTTTGCTGTTTTCTATGGCTAGCATTTTTTCTTCTGCTCCAGTAAAAAAATATCTTCTTCTTCATTGCATTCAGCTGAACTGAAACGAGCCTTTGCTATTGTTACACCCAAAGTCAACATCCCGTCCTCAAATACAAGTAATCAGACTAATTCAGTGCAGCAAACCCAATCCCAGTCCCTGGTCTGGACACAGCCCTCCTGCAGTGATAGTGAGACATGCGTAGGGTCTGCAGTGGCACAGTGGGATCCTCCCTTGTGGCCCTGCATTCCTTCATCAAAATTTGCCATGAGATACCACTCCAACCACTGGGATAGGGAGAAGCAGAAAAAGCTACTGTGGGGTGCAGTGTTCATGTACTTCTTGGTTCAAGGAAGGAAAAGACCATGTTAAGGTCAGATCATTGGAACTCCTTTGCAGGGAACAGAGATTGCTGGAGGAGGGTAGAAGCCTACACTGTCTTGAACTAAAAGACAATGGCTGGGCTGAGGTAGAATTAATTGTCTTCACAGTGGCTGATATGGGGTTATGTTTTGCATTTCTGCTGAACACAAGGGTGACAATATATAGATGTTTTTGTTATTGCTGATCAGTGTTTACATAGAGTCAAGGCCTTTTCTGCTTTTTGTACAGCCATGCTGGTGAGAGGGCTGGGGCTACATGGGAGGTGGGGAGGGGACACGGCCAGGCCAGGCGACCCCAAATGACCACACCACATGACACCATCACTATTTAAAGCTGAGGGGGAAGAAGGAGGGGAGACATTGATGGGTTTGTCTTCCCAAGTCACCATTACACGTGATGGGGCTCTGCTCTCCTGGAGGTGGCTGAACACCTGCCTGCCCCTGGGAAGCACTGAATGAATCCTTTGTTTTTCCTTGCTTGTGTGCCAGCTTTTTCTTTCACTATTAATCTGTCTTTACCTCAACCCAAGAGTTTTCCAGCTCTTACCTTTCCAATTCTCTCCACAAATCCCACTGGTGGCAGAATGAGCAAGTGGCTGTGTGGGGTTTGATTGCTGGCTGGGGTGAAAACACAACAGGAATGTGTCACTAGTGGGATCTGGACCAACCAGGAAACTGAAACTCAAACTGAATGATTAAAAAATATGTGTAGGTATTTATTTATGCATTTACCCTGTTGGTTGGGGGAACAATGGCAGGAGAAGTCTTGGCCTTTATACAATGCAGCACGTGTACCTAAGGTGAGTGTGGCAGCAACCCCTTGCTTCTGCTTGGGGCATCTGTGATACCATGATGCTGCTTTTCAAAACAAGAATCTTGTTTTAGGAGACAGCAAAACATTCTAAGTGTGGATGGATGAGGTGGCATCACACAGCCCAGGAGAGACAGAGCAAAATCAGTTTTTCTTGTATTCTGAAAAGCTCTGTTAGCAAGCACACAGGAGATAGGAACTGATGGCAAGGCTCCCACGGTCGGTGTGGGGAGGGCTGGGTCAGAACAGAGCCAGAGTAGATGTGAAAGGAGCGTGCAAGGGGCACTTGGCACTTCCTCAGTCTGCACTCACCACGCCCGGGAGTGTTGTGTGGATTCCCAGCACATGAACGATAAGGGAGAGCAATCTTTCCTCCCCAGACACAGAGTGATAAAGCCAAGGAGCCAGGCAGCAGCCACGTGCACTGATGCTGCAGAAGGAAGGAAGCTGCTGTGGTCATGGGTAGCAAACTGGTGACACATCAGGCTGCAGTAGGGCAGTGCCCCCACCCAGGCTGGCACATGGCCCCCACTGCCTGGCCACTGGCCCTCGGGCACAGGCTGGGCAGCAGCTGCACTGCACTGGAAGTGCACCTGGCTGCAGATTCAGGCAGCTTGTCATAGCAGAGGAGCCTGTCCATAGCTCCACATGCCAACCCCACTGCTGTGTCCATGTCCTTATCCTTAAGAGCAGCATCCTTTTTCTTGGCAGTGGAAATGACGAACAGTTCCTTACTTCAAGGAAAAGCCCACAAAAACGGTAATGCCCACGGTGCCAGTTACCCTGGGCAGAGTCTGCATAATCCATACCTTATGGAGGTGAGAGCCTTTCCTACTGGAGCCTATGGAGCACATGTGCACATGTGCACTACATCTGGTGTATTTTTCAGCATGTTTTGAGCTGTCACATCAACTCTTTTGAAAAACCAGTTCCAGGTGCTGATCTCCCAGGCTCTAGAAACAGACACTAGGCTTTCCTCATCACCCTAGTTATTCCTGAACCAGCAATGACTTGAACCTGCATCATGAGACCACACCCCAGAAGCATGAAAGCTCTTAATTCTGGAAAAATCAGTAAACAGGTTTGGGAAACATTGGCACAGACAGGAACACACGCAAAGAATGTACAAGAAACACAGTGATCTTTTTGCAATTCTTGAGTTTAATTACTTCAGCATGTGGGTTTTTCTTGCTATTCAGTCTTCCCCTTTCCATTGCAATCTTTCTTAAGAAAGTTGCACAAATACTTTTCCTGGACCTGTACATAAACCAGACACACAGATGCACAAACTTTTTTTTTTGCAATTTTCTTAAGCCTTGGTTTCTTAACTTCTTAAGAGAGAAAGTGTATTAAAAACCCATGATGCACTCAGACCCAATATCTGACAGTGAGCTGTGCTGAGGGGAGAGGACTCTGAGACAGAGGAACATGACACTAATCCATGACAGAAATTACAGTCCAACCAGTGCAGGGAGTCAGAGGTGCAGATCAACCTCCCAAATAACTCTGTTGTCTGCATGGTGCTGTCAAACAGCACACCAGAAAAGCCAAGTTTTCACTGAATAACTCTTCTCAAAACTGTGGCCTTTGGGAAGGAATTAACAAATCAAACCTGACCTGGGACAGATGCAACATGCTCACCTCCCCCTCTCCCTTCAGCTCATGAAAACTTGAGACTATTCAGCCATTGGCCTCAACAAGTCAGCAAAAGAAAGACTGTGAAGGCTTAAATAAGACAAACTTGACAAAAGGCAATTCAAAAGAAGGAAATGAGAAGGGCCACGAGGTAAGAACAGGTACAGAAGCACAGAAATAAAATGACACTGAAAGTGTTACACACTCAGGAGCAGGACCTTCCTCTGCAAATCAGAGATTTGACAGGGAAGCACAAATCCAACTAAGTTGGGCCAGCACAGGTGACATGCATTATCTAGCAGGCTTCAGAATATCTACCTTGGATTCTTGAACATAAAAGAGCTCAGCACTTATTAGTTCAGGAACATTAGAGAGAACAAAGCCTGCAGGTAGCCTGAATTCCTAAAACTTGAAAAAAAATTTAAGTAACTGTGCTGGTAGGAAATATCAGGTGATATTATCCAAGGGGGTTTCTACCTGCATCCAGGCCTATTGCAGCCCCAGCAGCTCGCTGTCACTTCAGCACACAGCAGGTTTGTGTGGGCTGGTGAAACTGTGATATGCTTGCTACTAGCACACAACTTGCTGCTCCACTGACACCAGGGCTGGGCTCCACAGTGCAGCTGCTCAGAGAACTTGGGAAACAGTGCCAAAAGAAACTTTGGGGAACGACTTTTTGGTGAAGTAGATACTAGTTTATGTAATTTATTGTCAAAAAACTCAGATGCATCTAGTTAATTTGGCTTTAGGATTCCACGGGCCGAAATTGCAGCGTGAAACCTGGTGTGCATACAGGGGCAGGGAACAATAGCTGCTACCAGCACAGAGAAACCTTAATGTGACACCCTGTGTCAGTGCAAGGGACCCCAGGGCTCCCCTTCTCATTTTAGGGACATGAATCAGTCCTACTGACCATCTCCAAGGACACAGGACCTGTGAACTGGGGCAGGTTACCCCGAGCTGCCATGCAATGTGCATGAGAAATCAGCGCTACACAGGGGGGCAAGCACTTCCTACCACAACTCCTACAATCCAGGGCAATGGATGTGTGCTAGCATGTTAAAAAATAATACTCCACAGTTAAATGTCATTTTCCATAGGAAAAATGTTCCCTATACCTAGGAGCAAATCTAGGAGTACGAAAGTAATCTAAGCAGATGCAAACAATTGTAGCCAATAACTGTCAAAAAAGAAATCTCAAAATAAAAAGAA